CTGTAGGCACGCGCAACAGAGAGGCGAGCAAAAGAGCCAGGAGCGGCGGCAGCTGAGCCATGCGAAGGGTGCTATGCCCGGATCCGGGTCGTGCATTATATCAACTATGAGGTAGGTATATGCTGTAAGATATGTACGGTGTGCGGCGGGTCTACCCAGCGGGGCGGCCGTGCGGGGATCCTGAGAGGAAGGAACCTTTTAGGCAGTGCCTGACTGGAGAGGGCTCAGATTGTGAACGGGTACTCGTTGTCGAACTGCTCCTTGTCGAGCGTGCGGCCGTGCTCGTTGATCCACTTTGTGCACTCTGCGTTCAGCTCTGTATGGCGGCGCTTTATTAGCTTGTTTGGGCCCGAACGGGAAGGGCGGGGACGTACCGTCGAGCGTCATGGGTTTTGTACACTGGAGAGAGTAGTGGTCTGAATGTTCGTGCAGGATCTGCAGAGTGTCGGGCAGAGGCGTGCCTTCATAAAACACATTAGCTAAGAGGAACCCAAGAGTGGAGCTCTCGCGCAACCCACCTTCCTTGACCACGTACACTAGGATATTCGCGCCGCGAAAGTTGCGCACGACCTCCTGGAAGGTTGGCGAGAGCGGTTCTCTCAGAGAGCACCCATTCGGACCTTCACAGCGCATTGTGCGTGCCTTGCTCAGCGTCCGTCATCCCTCCAGACCGCACCGTGCAGCGTACAGTCGGCAGCAGACGTACCGATGAAGTTGGGGCCGTCGGCGGGGAGAACCTTTCCGTCTACGAGCTTGAGGTCGTAGCTGAAGCGTTTGAGGGCCTTCTGGGTCTCGTAATCACGGAGACGGACGTTGCGACCGGACTGGACGCGGGCGAGCTCGACGGGAACGTGGTTGTAACGGCCGATGAGCGGTCGTCCGCCGGAAGAGGCGGTGGCGTAGAGACGCGACCACGCAGCGGCTGAGGGAAGCTGGAGGCGTGCGCGAGAGAGAGACGCGTGCAGAACAGAGGTGGCCGACATGCTGGCGTTCGGTGGACGAGAGAGACTTGGCACTGAGGCGCCTATTGATTTTTGGACATCATTTGACATAGGCGCTCAGGCTGCGCTCTCTTCCTCACCATCATGTCGCTCTTTCAGCGTAAGGATTTTCGAGCGGTACAAACTTACCAGATTGACACACTTCAAAGCCTCTATCTTCAGGCGATTGTATAGTTAAAACTGGGTCTGTCGGAGCTACTTGATCACGTCTACCACTCGCAATCATCTAGACTCGATCTTCCTCAGACTCCTGGGCGTTACATATCCTCCGAGAACATAATACGCCATCTCGGTATCAATGGGTGGCATAAGCTTGATACTTGTCATAGGGGCTATAACCGAAGACCGCGGAAACACCTGTAACATACCACGAACCTCGCCGCTTCCCCTTGCTGCAGATCAGTCAGTCTATCCTGGGCCGGCGATTCAGCGCACCCGCCCCTGGCTTCTTTGCTCAGGCTTCGGACTGTCCAACTCAAATCCACCGGGGTACTTATCTCGAAGCAACAGTGACCATGGACGTTTCTTTATCTCTGAGTCTGTGGCTCTCTGTTGTCGTACCCTGGTCAGCTACCTGTGTCGAGACCGCGACTGGAGTGTCTAGACGGTGCAATGCCCTCCGCATCTACAGAGAGCGTAGAACAGTCCCTCATAGCTCGAGAATTCTTGTAAGGATATACCACTAGAGCGCGCTTGGGGTATCGCGTTAACACTCGGGGGGTCCCTCCAACCTCAGCTTCGTACAGAACTGCGTAAACTTTGTCCTCGCCAGTAAGCACTACCGCACACGTCCAGCCCATTCCCACTCTGATCTCTCTCTAGCGCTCATATTCTACGAATACCTCATCACCTTCGAGGACGAGTTCCGCCTCATATGGCGCGGCAAGCTGACGGGCGCAAGTGTCATATTTGTGCTCAACCGCTACATCATGGTTGTACAGAACGCGATCACCATGGCCTCTGTAGCGCCTCTACCTAATACTGTAGGTCTTTGGCTCGCCTCTATGTCGTATAGCGCCCTATAACCATGCTTTTCTAGGCGTATGAGGCGCTTTCAGTTACATTATCTATCTTGTGTCTAACGATATGCTGCTAGATGCGCTGTCCTCGGTTACATGGACGTTATCCTCAGTATCTTGCCGTATGTCGTCTGGAACGGTACGCCTCTCGTCTACGCATCACACATATGTGCATGCATAAACGCGAGCTTTTGCGTACAGCGTTCTCAACTCTCCGCGTGTACGCCATATCGGGGCGCGACTGGCGCGTCTCGTCGGTCGTGTGCGTGCTCATGCTCGGGCCGCTCGTCAGCAACATCGTGCGTTGTTTCCCTGAGCTCGGATTCTGCGTAGACGTTGATAGTGCCGCATCACACACTCATCCACACTCCCAAAAACTACACAGTACGACGCGCCAGTCATCAAGCCGGTGAACATGCCCCCGCCCTACCTCTGCTCAGCAAGTAACGGCGTGTTGCTCGCGGTGCACTACGCGTACGTCCCCTTCCGCATTGTGCCTGCTCTCTGCTATAACAATACCTTGACTTCCATGGCTGACCCTTTCGGCCTTATGCGCTCAGACGTACGTTCTTCCCATTCGGCCGATCCTCGCTAATCATGTTCGAGAGCTAATAGCTCCGTAACCTAAATACAAACAGTGGTTCTCGGTTCACGCTGCCCGCTCATCGCAGGTGACGCGCTCGTCCTCGCCGTAACGTGGCGGAAGACGTACAGAGTGCGGAAGATGGCGGAGGGCGGCGGCGTCCGGACGCCCCTTCTGGACCTCCTGCTTCGCGATGGTACGTACCTACCGCGCTCGACCACTGTCGGCTCGGGTGCTGAACGACGCACTGTGATACTGCCGAATAGGAACGATATATTTTGGGTGCGTGAATGACGGATTGTGGGTGTATAGTGGGTGATGTGTGTCGTGCTGAAGCGCGGTCGCACTGTAGCACGATGCTCCTGCTGAACGTTCTCCACATCCTCATCACTTTCGTTCAAGAGGTCTCGGTTATGGGCGACGTCGCAGACGTGTATGTGTTCTCCTCCTTTCTCAACCCGTACTATCGACTCTCGGCCGGCTGCTCACCGTTGACGTCGCACCCGTACCCAGGCTCACCGCGATCCTCGTCTCCCGCTTCATCCTCAACCTCCGCGAGTACAGCGGCAAAGGCATCGCAGCACGGAACCGGTCGCACCCACACGACACCCAAGTAGCCTCAGTGTCCGCCAACGCGAGTGGCGCGCGCAGTACGCTCGTGTTCGCGAGTCGCATTGTGGGCTCGCTCGGGGAGTCGCTAGGGCACTCTGCATCTGGGGAATCAGAGGCCGAATCCGAGTCCTTTGTGGGCGAATGGTCGACCGATGAAGGCAACGAAGACGGGGACTGGCGCGAGACGGGGCCAGGGAGGATGTCGGCGGGAGCGTGGTAGATTTGTCGATGCACGAGGGTTTGCTTTGCGGTCGTCTCTTTGTCTATTGGGCTAGCGTTGCTGGAGATTCTTTCGCGATCCTCCGTTCATGATCAGACATACGCCGCCAGAAAGACGAATCCGGCAACGTCGAGATAGCCAACGCTACCCGGACGACAATCTCCTCCCTTCTCCTCCCAGCACTTAAAAAATGACCCCGTTGGTGTGCGGCTCTTCGGCCCGTAACCTCCGGGACGTTGATGTCAATGCTTCATCGGGGCTCCGAGCTGCGTGATATCATTCATAGAGTTCCGCGAACAAAGTAGCGACGCTGCTGTCAGCAGCTGCCGTCGCGGAGTACATATACATCGTCGGCGTTCCCGCGGCCCCCTCAACCTTACCCACGTTCTCTCATCTCCAACGACGATGCGCGCATACTACTTTGACAACGTCCCCGGAAACCAACGCCTCCCACACGACTCAGGGCGCGGCGTCGCACTCGAGACGCTCGCCGCACTCGGCGTGCTGTACTGGCGCATCCCGGTGGACGCGCCGGGTGGCTGGGAGGCCAAGATCGACGCGATCGCGGAGGAGCGGCGGTACAGCTCGCGCGACGTCGTCGTCGCGAGCCGGGAGTCGTTCGGGGAGGCATTCGAGGAGAAGACGACGATGTTCTTCAACGAGTGGGTATCTCGCCTAACGCATTTTTGGGCTATGGACGCGTATTAGGAAGGTCTGAATACTGAGATACATACCGTGGGGTGATTTGCAGGCATATCCATGAGGACGAGGAGATCCGGTACCTCCTCGAGGGCAGCGGGTTCTTTGATGTCCGCGGTGGGTAGCGCTAGCATGGTTTTCGATTAAGGAGGCTTGCGGGGGCGCTGACGATATGTGCATTTTGGCAGAGCACCCGACCGACTCTTGGATCCGGTGCCATTTGGAGGCGGGCGACATGATCATCCTCCCCGCGGGCATCTACCACCGCTTCTCTCTCGACGAGCGTGAGCGTGCGAGGACGCTTCGGCTCTTTAAGGTCCGTTTGTGCAAGTGTATTTGTCACAGGAAATTATGCTGATAAGAGTGAATGTTATGTGTGTCAGGACGAACCGAAGTGGACGGCGCACTACCGTGGGCCCGAGACCGACAAGAACCCGTACCGTGTGGAATACCTGAAGGCCTTCCCTGCTGCGACGCCTCAGGTTGGAGTGCGGGCCTGATGTTAACATCGTGCACTCCATGTATATTCGCCCCGAGAGTGCGTGTTCGTGGAGGCCTGCTATTGATGATGTTGTGTAGTAGCATGATGATGCTCCCGGTATGGGTAAGCTCGCTGAGGTTCATTGTATGCCAGTCGGATGTACGAAGTAACACCCCTGTATGACTCTTCTTGAGTCCCGGCCGGAATCGTCAAGGTCGAATGAAGCGCAGCGACAAGATAAGTAACATAAGTTTGACCTGAGGGTTGACGCGTCGACGTAGAAGACGAGACTCAGAGTGGACGCGCGCGGCAGTCGATTAAATCATCACTTGGCAGGATTTTATTCTGAAATGGCTAATTACATTTGTTAAGGCAATTCTTGTAAGACACTATGGCCGAGTGGTTAAGGCGACAGATTCGAATTACCTAATTCGATCATCTGTTTCCCTCTGGGAGCGCAGGTTCAAATCCTGCTGGTGTCGTTTTGTTTGTTCTTCTTTTCGACCGCGACTCCATCTCGACACTTACAGCTGCACTGGGCGCCGGTTGCAAGGGGTGACCCTGATTTGGCCGCATTATTCCGGCGCAAGTATTAGAAGAACATCGACCTCCAGCTCGAACACTCTCGCCACGACTACTATATGCCGAGTTCCGACTCGGAGATTAGGCATCGACGACGTGTTGCTCACACTTCCCTCGAGCGGGACATATAGAACTCGCGGAATGGCCGTTTACGAATTCAACCTCGGCGTTGGTAGCCCATTCCCTCGACTTTTTTTCGCAGTAGAACATTGGTAGGGAGACTCGTACAAAAGAACGCGCCAACCGAGAACCGTTCAATATCAATGCTAATCTTCCAACACTCGAAGGATATTATGGCTACGAGTAAATGCTCTCTAACCCTTACCTCGAGCGTTCGTCTTTCCTCTGGTGAGCAAAAGCATATCGACTATCATCGATGTACCGCTAATCCCAACAATACTGCGCTGGCAGGGTACAACATCCCTTTGATCGGATTCGGCGTATGGAAGAATATCGACGAATGAGTCCCCACTTGACTCTTGTCTTGCCGTACTGAAGCATGGCTATCGGTGATTGTTACTGCATGCACGATGCACTAGGACGCTTCGTAGGCTCACGAGAAGATATCTCCAGGCACATTGACTCTACGAGGGTGCACGGGAGCGAGGAGGCGGGCGACTTGGAGGTTGTGCGGCAGAGCGGCATCCCCTAGGGAGGAAATCTTCGTCGGTGAGTGGTATCGCCAGAACAGCGATGCAAAAACCGAAATGTTGACGACGGCGAGATGCAGCTTCAAAGGTCATGGCCAACGAACATGGGTTGGAGTACCCTCGCCGCCGTCGGCGACTCCCTGAAGCGTTTCGGCTGGTACGTTCTATGGTGTAGTAACTGGGGGAGAGAAGACAGCTGACGGATGTGTAGACTACCTCGACCTGTTCCTCATTCACAGCACGCCGTCGCGGAAGGAGAAGCGGTTCGAAACGTATCGCGCGTTGCTGGACGCGAAGAAGGCGGGGAAGCTATGCTCGGTCGGCCTATGGAGCTAGTACACGCTCCTCATCTCGTCTCGTCACGTCTCGTCTCGGGGGCGGGGGGGCTTCATGACAACTGACCGGAGTGTCCGTAGCGGCGTCGGGCATCTGGAGGAGATCAAGGGAGCTGGCCTCGAGATACCTTCGGTTCACCAACTCAAGGCCTGCCGTCGCGCACTGTCCAACGTATTAGTCACTCCTCTCACCCGGCCGGGCTTGCAAGTACTCCCATTGTGCCAGCGGGAGGAGATCCATGAATACTGCAAGACGCGGGGGATTCTCTTGCAGGCATACTGCCCGTTGACCCAGGGCAAATTCAACAACTTCGTCTTTCAAACACGAAATCGCCAAGGTGATTACCACGCCGTCAAAGAAAGCTTCATGAATGCTCACGTTCTATCTGCAGTATAACAAGCTCGTCCTGCAAGTCCTCGTCCGTTGGTCGCTGCAGCACGGGTAAGCTTCGATGTGCGCCGCATCTGAGAACGCTAACCGCAACGCTGGTCGTAGGTTCAACCCCCTTCCGAAGCCGGCTCACGAGGAACGCATCGTCTCCAATGTCGGCGTCTTCGACCTCGAGATAGCGCCCCAGGATTGGGTGAAGCTCGACGCCCTCCACCAGGGCACGGAAGGCGCCCTCGGATGGAACCCCGTCCACGCCCCGTAAGGAACAGGTTAGTCGGCTCGGGCGCGCCACCGGTCACGTCCGAGTGGAGTGGTAGTGCACACAAGTGGGGTAGAAGCGGGAGCACCTGATTGGCGTAGCGCAGAGTTGATCGAACCACTGTTTGACAGGACAGGCGTATACGAGAAAGTCGCTGCTTTCGCATCCGGGTAGAACTGGGAAGGCGTCAAGTTCAATCTGCATAGCTCGCCGTCGTAGACTAGGAACTTGGTGGAAACTCGGCACGGATGCCACTGGGATTCAATAACGAAGTTCCTTGAAGGTCCCCTCGGCTTTTCTCCTAAATTTACACAATGCGGTCTGAAGTAACAACCAACGTATGCCATGTGTGTAGGTCCCGATTCTAAGAACTTGGTGAGTGGCGACAGTGCGGTAACTGGTTGAACGTTGATGCGTTGACCGCTGACTGCTGATCAGCTGAACATTTGTCCCGACAGGCGAACCCGCGCCGAAGAGACGACTCCACGCCTTTCAAACAAGCTATAGCCAGAAACACAGACGATTAGCGCGGTGCCTATGCACACTTCCGTCACACCCGCGCTGCGTCCTGATGGTGTCGCCAGCCTACGCGCTCAACTCTCTTGTCCGACGGTTCGAGATGCAAAAGTACGTAACAAACATGCCCACGGGGCATCATGTGGCGTCCCCGGTACACTTCGTCAGCTGAGGTACACACACCAAACGGCGCAAAGAGTCCGCGAACGGCATGATAACTCAGCGGCTCCCGCTGGATTCTAGAGTACCTCCGCACGGCATATAGCGCCGGTCACAGGAAGGGAAGGTTTACGCCAATTCATTTGACTGCTGGCCAGACCGCGCTCATCAGCTATTCATGTGTGCTATGCGATGGACCTACGTCATTTAAAGCTGCCTTTATAGGGGATCGGATATGATCCGCCGCTCGTCTCGGAAGTTTGCGCCGAGTTGTAGGTCAAGGGCCGAATTCAAAGCAACGAGGTGTGTACCCTGGAGATGTGTGGCAAAAACAGTACCCGACCCCTTGCGAAGCTTGGCAGTGAGTAGTACGGCGAATCTCAGTGCTTACACTGATCTAATCTACTAATACTACTTCAACGGTCAAGTTGGACTCTGTAAACACCGTGGTAGGGGCACCGAAAGAGCGTATAATCGAATCTTTCGTGGCGGGTGCAGGCTATAAATTGTAGAGATCAATGACGCTAGCTAACGTTCATTCAAGCCACGAAAGCCAATTCGAAGCAGAAACCGGTGCGGATGCGGTCATAGTGGTAAGGACATCGCGCCGCTACTCCCAATTCTCAAGCATGATCCTGCCACGTCGGGCGAAATATCAGAACAGCCTTATGTTTTCACTTCTCATGAAACGCCGCGCGCCTCCAAATTATATTGCATGTACGGCAACTAATTGAATGTTGGGAAGGGTCAAAGACGGCCCGGAGAGTGACGCTAAATCCAGAATTCTTTTGGTGGAGAGCCTCTCAGACAATTTCAGGTACGCCCCGCAAGCCGCATGCATCATGCAGCAGCCGCAAGCATCGGAAACTTGTGCCGCTTACTAGAATTTGAAGATTTTCCAAGGCGCGAAATGCAGCGTCGCAGCTCAGGGTCGTACTGCTACCGGAAACTTATGTCTCTGATCATGAGGTACGTTCGTTACGGTCGTCGGCAGCGGAGAAAAATAACTCTCCCCTTTCTCGTCTCGTCGCAGAGCGGTCGTTGAGTTTTCTAGACTGTTGGTATCTATTATAGTCTCAAGGATGCGGACTTTCCCCGAAGACGGCATATCCATAGTATCGGGAGTGGAGTCATAACGTTCAAGACGTTCGAGCGGGGGCGAGGCAAATGTGGTGAATTTAGTCTGGGAAGACCAACCATACCACGATTTGTGATTCTGCCCAAGTCATAGAGGGTCACGGTGCCACTTACACGTAAAAAGATGGTGGTAGTTGGCGGTGCGGCGGATGCGTTGGCAGGGGGGGATAGATATGCCTCGAGGATCCTGCATGGCATCTCGGAATTTCTACACGCAAAACAAGAACAAACAGAATAAATGGACAGGGTATCTCTGAAGTTCAAGTATAGGACTTGATTCGAAGAGAAAGAACTGGGAGGCCACAAACTAAACTCACTTTCCAGGGACGGTCCCTGTATGTCTTCCGTAACGACGCTCAAGGAGGCACGCGGTCACTCATACAAGTTGGTCCACTAAGCCTAATTTGTATCATGCAGATGATCCACTTAGGTGCTTGTTGGATACGAACCACGATTTATCTTGTCAAAAATGCTGGATATGCACTCTTTTTACATCACACATGGCTTTCGTGTGATGTTCTGCGGCCCTGAGACCCTTCGACAGAGTGCGATGAAGGACAGTCTTGACGCGATGGACGCAATGTGACCCCTTGTAGTAGAGAGCAGACGCATCACATGGCAATGCATTTCTAGGAGTATTAAAGGTCGCGAGCTCGATGGTGTGGCCTCCAGTGCCCACTCACTACACCTCGCATCAACGTACTCGTGCAGTTAGTACACGTTGCATTCGCGAGAATCTCTTTGAAAGTATTGACGACAACTTTCAATTCAGGCATGCTCTTCTCCACCTTCGCCAAGTTCGCCGTTGCGGCCGTGCATGTTGGAGGGACCTTCGCCAATCCAACCTCCCTCGAGGCTCGTCAGTCGGTCTGTGTGCCAGAGGTCTGCAGCATGGACGCAAACTGTACCCAGCCGGCGTGCCCCGATTGCTTGATGATCCCTAATATCCTTGGCATCATCAGCCTTCCGGTCAGTGTCGTCACTCTCTCAATGAGAATGGCTGATCCCAACGAACGAGAGTAGGGGGTCTGCGTGCCTGAGTCCATCGGGGCTTTGGTGGACTGCGTTCTTGATCCCACTCAACTTTGTCGCAATGACAGCGACTGCCCGGATACATGCACAGCCATTCCCGGCGTGTCCGTGTCATACTTCTGCTACACACCGATCGGGCTGCTTGGTCCCCTCGGACTCGGTGTAAGCCCCTACTTCTTTTTGTTATCATCCATGGGTGATTGACGGTGCCTCCCCTACTCAGGTCTGTATCCCGCAGACGCCGTAATCGTCCTTTGGCGGCCTATCGCCCCCACCATTCCGAATGGAATATGACCCTGACCCGCCTGTTCGTTGCTCTTGGTTTTTGTGGTCTGGCATAAAAAAGAAGAAAAAGAATAAGGTGTCTGGAGAAGCTAGCTGGTCATAACATGTACAACATCTGATGATATCTTGGGTATGG